GTGGGATGGGAGGATGGCTCCACTCTTTGAAACCGCCAGGCAGAAGCTGGACTCAGAAGCACTAATCTAATGGAAAGAAATTAAACTCTCACTTGGTCCCATCCTGTCTTTAAGTCTCCTGCCCTTCACAGAACCCTTCCCACCGTCTGCGCCCTTCGCTCTAACCAAAGCCATTCAGCACATCCCCATCCCGCTGTCCCGTCCCCAGAAGTGCCCTCTGTGTCTGGGCTGTGGGACTGCAGCCAGCAGTGTGGTCCTGTTTCCCTTCGCTGGAGATGCCACCCCCGCCCCCACCTTCCCCCTCAGCCCACGTGGGGCAGCACTGGCTCAGCCAGTCTGGCCGGGCCTCCTGTGCAACCAGGCCTGTCATTAAGCCCTCCTGGGTCAACTAGAGAGGATGGCCGCTGGTGCGGAGTGCCAGGCCCAGGCCGGGGCAGGAGGACGGCTACCCGCTCAGCCCAGGCCCTGGGCTCTTGTAGCCTGTGCTGGGCCTGCCAGACCCCTGGCAGGGCAGCCAGCAGAATCTCAGCGGGCTGGCCTTGATTCAATGTTTTCCCCAAGCCTCTCAGTGTCTGGAGGGAAGATGTTGTCATCCTCCTTACCCAGATGAGGACATTGGTTGAGAGAGTTTAATTCTGTTGCCCAATGTCACAGAATCGGTAGTGACAGAGCTGGGATTCAGCCCAGGGAGGGCTGGGTTGTTTCAGAGGAGAGGCATGAAGGGACTGCCACATTCTTCCCCAGACTCTGAAAGTCCCAGCCCAGGGCTCAGCCCTCCCAGCCAGGGCTGGGTCTGCCCTGGTAAAGTCCCCATCGTTGCCAGAGCCATCAGGAGGTGGCCGGTCCACACCGGCTCAGGTCTAGAAGTGACCACCTGTTTGCTGGAAGCATCCAGGAGATCCTCCTCCTGGGACAATGTGGAAGGTGTCTCTGAAGTGACTCATGACACCATGTTTACACTCACAGAGAATTATGACAACCCTTTGCCGATTATTTCCTGAAATTAAAGAAATTTTTCAATTTAACAGCATTGTCACTGATTAAAAAAGAACAGAATCTTAACTTGCGTGTCTGTGGGCTGAGAAGTGAGTTAACTCTTGCAAAAATAATTAGTTCTGAACCAACTTCCAGCTAGACTAACTTCCAAGCTGAGAATGAGGCTGCTGCTTTTTTTGCCTTCAAAAAAGACCCTTGGTTTTATAAAGATCAAGATGCTATGTTTGGTGAGGAATAATTTTGACACTGGCTCACCGGGCCTTAGAGTTTCTGGTCCTGGAAGATGAGGATTGAAAGTTCTGGGACCCAGGTCCCCTGGAGATTCTTCTGGTGGCCCAGGCAGGAGTCTGGTAGATCCGCACAGGCCAGAAAAGGGCACAGAAGGCTCAGAAGACAGCAGGTTGCCTCAGGGTCAGGGTTGGGTGAGAGTTTTTATCTGTCCCTTTCCTGAGGAGCTGGGCATGAGGCACTCCGTGCGTGCGTGCGTGCGTGTGATCAAAGACTTGGCTCCCATGGCACTTTGCGGACAAGGGTCTGAGAAGTCCTATCTCCCATTTGGTACCAGCGGGACCAGAGCTGAGGGACTGCTTCCCTCTTCCCTCCTCAGGGTCCTAAAGTTTTCAGCTCACAAAGCATTTTCACATCCTCTTTTTTTTTCCCTTCACGAAGGCCCTGGGGATTGAACCCGGGCGTTTCTGCACGCCAGGCATGCATTCTACCGCTGAGCTATACCCCCCACCCACTTCACATTTTCATCTATTTCATCTGTGTCTTAGATAGAGGAGGGTGCTAACACCCTCAATTTACAAAGAGAGAAGTTGAGGCTCAGAGACGGAGCCTGCTTCCCCAGGTCACAGGGCTGGCAGGATGGTTTTAGGCATGGGAAATGCTAGCTTTGGTACTGAACTTCAGCGCACAAAGCATTTTTCACATCCTCATCCCACTTCACCCCTGTCTTCAGTAGGGGAGGGGTGTTTGCATCTTCATTTTATGAAGAGGGAAGTTGAGGCTCAGGGATGGAGCTGGCTTCCCCAAGGTCACAGGGCTGGCAAGAAGGTTATGGGCAGGGATGGATGAACCGATTTGGTTGGGGAGAGGGCTGTCCTTGATAACAACTGGCATGTTTGATATAAAATTATACAGTATATGTTGGGACAAAGGGAAAGAAATAAGTGCCCACTCAGTCTGAAAAGCAAAGGTGATGAATGGCAGACACATTATAAAGTGTCACAGTGAAAGGTTATCTGGGCTGTTGGGAGAGCCAGGCTCAGGGACTCAGAGTGCATATAGGAAAAGTGTTCCAGCTTTGCTGGTGTTTTTCCTGCAGCAGGTGGGTGGGACCCAGTTAGTGTCTCCTGGCATAAATTTAGCATCAACAAATCTCTCTCCAGCTCCACTCAAGTGCAGAGCCGCTCCTGCTCCTCCTTCACACCTGGGCACCCCCCGCCCTGCCTGAGCTCCTGGAGACCTCCCGGGCCCTGGGCCTGCCCTTTGCCTGGGGCCCTCTGGCACCTGCCCTCCTCCCAGCTCTCAGCCCCTCCCCCGCCCGCCTCTGATGTGCCTGGCTGAGCTCGGCCGGCCGGAAAGGACAGATTCTTAGTCACTTTTGTTGGACCACAGGTGGAAAGTTCTAGGGCCTGTGTGCTCCCCCTCCCCCAATCCTGCTTCTCCACGTACCAGCTGACTGTGTCCCAGAACGTGAGCAGGAAGTTGGTGGGGGTGTAGTGGGGTGGGGGGTGCCTGGCCTTCTGGCCAATTCACTTCTGTAGGCAGAAACCTTACTGAAGGCCTGGGATGACGTGCCCACCCAAGTCCCTGGGCAAGTGCTGGGCAAATCCCTGACCCTCTCCAGGCCTCAGTTTACCCATCTGTGCACAGGCAGGAAAGTTCTTGCCTTGCTCACTGACAGGCAGGCTGAGATGAGGTCATTGCAGGAAAGCTCTTATCCTTCACCTCGAAGGGTAGTTAGTTATCTCTGTTGCTCAGTCCACTGGTCTCTGTGTGCTGTTCCTCAAAGCCTTGTACGGAAAACCCCGGGGAGGCGTGATCCAGGCAGAAACCATCCCTGTTTGTGTTGGTGTGTGTGCCTGGGGGAGGGGGGCAGGGTGTGGAGGAGAGTCCAAGAGGGCAGCTGGGAACCGGGAAGGGTAATGCCTCCTATCTTGGTGAGCACCTAGCATGTGTCAGCCTCTGCGCTGAGCTCTGAGGTTGAATAAAGCCGTGCTTCGGTCCTCCAGGAGCCCCCGTCTCGGAGGGGAGGCCACTGTGTTTACAGTCAACCACAGTCCGGGACCTCAGCTTCCCCATCATGCTAGATTGTCCGCTCCAGCACTGTGGTTCAGCAGGCGTGCTTCAAAGTGGCTCACGGAAGCCCTCCACCGAAATCACACCCACTGGGAAGTCCTCTTTCAGGAAGCTTCTGGTCAGATTGGACACACAGCGCCCCAGCACCCAGGTGCAGCGTTAGACAAACTCAGGGTCTCACTGGAGCCCAGCATGTGGGAAAGAGAGGATGTGGGGTTCCCTTGATCCAGCCGGGATGAGCCCAGCCAGTCTCTCCCACCGCTACTATGACCTCTTCCTCTGGGTTCCCCTGCCCTGAATCAGGCCCTTCCAGACCCTCGAGCCCTGCGCTGCTTTGACCTCTGTCCTGTTTCCACAGACCCCTTTCTAACGTGCATGGAGACCCCACACCCTGGCACCCAATCCCCTAGTTCATCTCCATGCCTCGGTGCACAGCCCAAGGCTCAGTGATGCCTGAGGCAGAGATTTTTGGCTCTTTCACTCCAGCCCCTCCCCTACTCCCCCTGTCCCTGGTCGGACTGGATTCCTGTGCATCTGTTTTGGCTCCCAGAACTGGCTGCACTTCCCCACCTCAGCACCTTTGTCCTCGCTGTTCCCTCTCCCCGAAGTTCTCCTTCACCTAGTCCGGCTGCCTTGCACAACTCCAGGGGACCCATCCATGGTGATTTCTGACATCAGTGCCCTCTGCAGCACAGCCCAAGAATTCAGCGCCCCATTGGAGTTGTGCCAGGGAGCACCCCTTCCATGTCAGGCCCCCTCCCCGGAACCCCACCTCCACCCTATCTGAGTTCTCACTCCCCTTTGAAGTCTCAGGGGACTTTGCTCCCATCCCGGCTTTATCAGACAACTGTTCTGTCTATCTTCACTGAGTAAACACCCGTTTGCGGGGCTGATGTCCCCAGGGTCTGGCCCATGGCTTGCTCTTGGTGACCTCCCCCATCCAGTTCTGGCCAAGCAGGCTCAGCCGGGCAGAAACTGGCCGAAACTTCTGCGATGGGGGCAGCCTTCCTTCTCTCTTTGGCCAAAAGGGCATCACCTCCAAGTCTCCTCCTCTGGCGGGGCTGGGAAGCCAGGTCATGGTGGGCGAGAGATGGAGGCCGGTGATGGACCCAGGAGTCCCGGCCCTCCAGCTCCTTGTTCCTTAAAACTGGACTGCATTAGACCAATGTCCAGACCGCTGGTGGGGCAGAGGCATGGATGGTGAGACTGTTAACAGTAATGATCAGGCCAGTGATAAAGGTGATAAGGACAACAGAAATCAAGGTGTGGCCCCCTTGACATTCTCAGAACCCCGTCCTCAGACCCTCTCCCTGAAGGTCCCTACCCCCACCCACCCACCCAAGCCTGGAATGAGGGAGCCCTGGGGCGCGGGGAGTCTGGTCTTCAGGCCCTGAACTTGGCTGGGCCTGGCTCCCCCACCTCCCTGTCCCCATAACCCACCCACACCTCCCCCACCATCTGTCCAGGTGCCTGTAGGCTGTGACTCAGTGTCTGCCTGACCTCAGCATGGGCCTCAGCAGGGGGAAAGGGCAGTTTCCTGAGACTGGCTCTCCAGGTCATGACGCAGGAGCCCAGGGCTGGGGCCTTAAAGTGCCTTTGTTGGTAGGCTCAGGAATCTAGCGAAACTGGTCAGGGGGCGGCTCCAGGGACTGAAACCCCTCCCTCAGCCACCGCCCCTCCCGCCGAGCCCTATAACTGCTCCGGTCTTTCGTCTCAGCGTTCGGCAGCTGTTGGCAGGAAGGAACTGGTCTGGTCTTACTCGCCGGGCTTGTGCCCCTGGCTCTCCCGCTCGGAGCTGCTCCAACTGGCTTTGCCCCCGGGCTTGTAGTGAAACGCAGAGTGTTCTTCCCCAGCATTTGGACTCCTACAGCCCCCAAGGCCGGATCCCCACAGCCTTCCAGGTCCTAGATCCCGGCAGACGCTGAGCCATGGCTTCCATGGGGCTGCAGGTGATGGGTATCGCTCTGGCTGTGCTGGGCTGGCTGGGCGCCATACTGAGCTGCGCTCTGCCCATGTGGCGCGTGACGGCCTTCATCGGCAGCAACATCGTCACGTCGCAGACCATCTGGGAGGGCCTGTGGATGAACTGCGTGGTGCAGAGCACGGGCCAGATGCAGTGCAAGGTGTACGACTCGCTGCTGGCGCTGCCACAGGACCTGCAGGCGGCCCGCGCCCTCATCGTCATCTGCATCATCTTGGCCGTGCTGGGCGTGCTGCTGTCGGTGGTGGGCGGCAAGTGCACTAACTGCGTGGAGGATGAGAGCGCCAAGGCCAAGACCATGATTGTGGCCGGCGTGGTGTTCCTGCTGGCCGGCCTGCTGGTGATGGTGCCCGTGTCCTGGACGGCCCACAATGTCATCCGCGACTTCTACAACCCACTGGTGGCCTCTGGCCAGAAGCGGGAGATGGGAGCCTCGCTCTACATCGGCTGGGCTGCCGCTGGTCTGCTGATGCTCGGTGGGGGCCTGCTTTGCTGCAACTGCCCACCCCGTAACGACAAGCCCTATTCGGCCAAGTACTCTGCCGCCCGCTCCGCCCCAGCCAGCAACTACGTGTAAGGTGCTACTGTTGACTCTTTTCCTTTCACCTTTGTTTCTCCCTGGACTGAGCTGTGACCTGCAATCTATGACCCCGGGATGGCCCTGCCACAGCCACAGGCTCCTGGTGGCTGGGCAAGCAGGGACTGAGCCAGGCCATTGGCTGGCAGCCCTCAGCCCCTTCTGGCCCTCTCAGGCACCTTCCCAAGACCACCTCCAACGCTAGCAAGGATGGATGGAAAGAGACTCCTGTATCACTCTCCTCTGAATAACTATGGATACAGGGGGCTGGCTCCTGCTGGCCGGGACAGCTCAGCTCTGACTTTGCTTGGGCTCTGCCTCTGAGTGGGTGCCCAGTGGACGACGGGACCATGCCCATGTTGCCCACTGTCCCCTTCTGTGATCTTCCCCACTCCTTCAGCCAGCATCCTCTGGGTGGATCAGCGAGCACTTGGGCTGTGCCTAGCCCAAGGAAACCTGTGGCCACGAGAATGGCTGCCTTGCTCACCCACCTGCCCGTGGAGCACAGTTGCTGAGCACAGAGTGGACGGACAGGTTTAGAGGGGAGGGGCGGAGATGCCACAAACTGGTTTGGGTAGTGGTGGGGGAGGGGGTCAGAGAGGCAGCCGAGGCTGCCCGCACCCCTTCCAGCCCCCACCCCGCCTCCTCAGGGATCTGCCTCTGCAGCCTCAGCAGAAGGACCCCGAGGCCCCCTGAGACTGGCCACCTCTGGGTCCTCCACCCCTGCCAAGGTCATTGGTCAGCCTGGGGAGGGCAGGGGAACGGTCTGTCTCTGGCCCTCAACCCAGGAAGTCCTGGGCTTTTCCTTGTCTCCTATGTGGTTTCTGTTTTGTAATTTAAACTATTTGTCACGGTAATTGCTATTATTTTCTACAATAAATGGGACCTGTGCACAGGAAGGCTCTATCGTTTGATTTCAGCTGTGGAGGTAGGCGGGACAGGGTGAGGGCCTGGACCCCAGGCAGGAACACACAAAACTGGTTTGGGGGAATTGTGAGGTAGTGAAACTGGCCCTGACCTTTGGAATCACCTTGCTCAAGCCCTCTGTTTGTTAGAGGGTGAAGCCCAGGACCCTGAAGTGCTGGGGAACCCAGCGGGGGAGGACAGATGAAACAGCCAGTCCTGGGGGGTGCGCTCCCTGCCCTCCTCTCCTTTGTCCCAGTTTTGTCTGGGCAGCCAGGCTGGTCTGCTCACCCCCCAGGTCCTGTCTCCCAGCCTTTGCTCAGGCCGTCCCTGCCCTCATCCTGGAATGTCCTTTTCCCCTTCTCCACCCTTCTGAATCCTGCTCGTCCTGAAGACCCAGCTCTGAGCCTCCTCCCCCGTGAAGCCTTCCCATGGCTCCTGCTTGGAGGAATTATCATCTGCCCTGTTCACATTCTCACCACCATGCTGCCCTTTCACCTGCCTCACAGCTCCGCCTGGAGCGCCACATTCCGATCCCTTTAGAGATGACACCGAAGCCTGGACCCGTGGAAGCGTCACAGGCCCAGACGTGTAAGCCCGGGCTCCTGGTATGTGGGTTAGGGGTGGGGGCCCACCGCCCTGGGAGGAGTCGGAAAGTCACGTCTGTGGTCCTGCCGTGCTTGGTGCAGGGACAGCCGGGGGTGGGGGCCCTCAGTCCTGTCTCTTCTCACTTGTCCTTCTCAGGGACAGATGTCCTCTTTCCTGGGGTGAAGAACCACAGAGCCAGCATTCTGCTGCCCCTTCTGGGGCTCGTTTAATAGGGACAGCTTCCCCCAAGGGGCAGGGCTGGCACAGTGGCCCCGCTTCACAGGTAAAGCAGAGGAGGCCGAGGCCGCAGGGAGGATCAGAGGCCAGATGGGGGCGAGGTGCTGGGACTTGCTCCCTCAACCTGCCTCCTGTTTGCGGTACAGGTAGACGATGCCGGAGATGAAGCCATCGCTGTCAGAGGCGCCAGGCCCCAGCTCGAGCTCCGAGGTGGCCAGTTCCCACCGGTCCACAGGCCAGGCCACCAGGCGTTCCCACACCCCAGCCTGCTCCAGCCTGTCCAGGGTGGCCTCCAGTGCCTCTTTGTATCGAAGGTTGGATGGGTTGGTCCTGGTGGTCAGACACACCAGCCCACCTGGGGAGGGGCGGGGGAGGAGCCAACAGGGAAGGTTGTCCCCTTCCTGCTCCAGGGCGGAACTTCTCCCAGCTTTGTCCCCAGGCCAGCCTTTCCCATCTCCAAGTCCCTCGTGCTCACTGATCCCTCCCCAAGAAACACCCTCTGCTTCCTCAGTTTGATGGCCTCCTTGTACCCTCCAAGGCCCAAGTGTCCTTAACACTAGGAATTCTTGGCTTCATCCCCTTGACAGAAGGGGCTCCCTTCTCACTGCTCACCCAGCCCTCTGTTGGAGGATATGGCTGTGTCTGAACACACATGGGCTTTGGACCTTGGGTATGTCCCTTCACCTCTTGGAGCCTCAGTTTCCCAGCTGGTAGTGTGGGGTGATTATCCCTGTCTCATGGGAAGGCCGGCACAGTCAGTAAGCGCTGGCTGAACGAATGAATGACCTCATCACTCCAGGTCTCTTTAGGCACCTACAGTATACCCAGTGCGGGCTCAGATACTCTTAGGAGAGACTAATGTCTGGAAGGCTTCCTGGAGGAAGGGGTAAGAAGCTGCTGGAGAGTGGGGAAAGGAAAGGTTCTGAAGCAGGGGAGCCTGTGACACGTGGACAGGCAAAGAGTTCTTTGGCTGACTGAGGGGCCTGGCAAGTACATGCTGGGTGAGGAGGCCTGGTTCTTACTGGTTCAGATAATGTAAGTTTCCTATCCTCCTGGACCTGGCCGCTATTTCTCTCTGACATCACCAATGTCCCTGAATCTGGCAGCTTCTGTGGTTCCTGAGGATGAGGCCTGACTAGACCTGCTGGGCCTGGCAGGGGTGAGTGGGGCAGGGAGGAGATGCAATCCTGCTGTGATGGGGCACCTTCGGGGCTTCCAGATTCTGTTCTGCAGCGAGGACCTGTCCTGAGCCTCATGACCCTCACACTCTGTCAGTCTCCTTTCTTTCTGCCTGTGACTTCGCTTGGGCTGTGTTCCTGTGAGGACTGCCCCTCCCTCCAACCCCAGCTATCAGAAATGCCTCCTTCTCTAGATTCTCGGTGTACTGAGCACACACAGTCCTGTGGGCCCACCTCTGGCCTGGTCATTTCCCCTGACCCCTTCCCATGGCGTGGTGGGTGGGGTGTGTACCTTCTCCCCAGGGCAGAGGCAAGCATGGGGCAAGGCACACAGTAGGAGCACCTTAAACACAATCCTCACCTGCACCTCAGCCCTGTGTGTGGAGTCTACAGAAAAGTGCTCACATCCATCAGCTCACCTGAATGGACCCATTTCACAGATGAGGAAACTGAGGCCACAAACGATAAAGAGACTCACCTAACAGCTGTCCCTGGGTTAGTGAGGAAGCTAGAAGATGAAGGAACTGAACTGAGCCCCTACTATGTGCCAGGACTGAAACACAGACCTTACAGACTCTATTTTACCCAATTCTCACTGCAATCCTACGGGGAAGGGATGGTGCCACTCTGCCTATAGGTTGAGAAAACAGAGGCTGGAGAGGAGAGTGGAGTTGTTTCTGTTTTCCCAATGGATAAGCAAGTTGGCCACCTGTCCATCCGGCCTGTTTGCCTGGGTCTGCTGATGCTGGCAGGTGAGGCTGAGCCTGCGCTGCCAGCTGGCGGCTGGGATGCTAGGCTGTGATCCTGGGTGCAACCGTACCCCTCACTTGGCCTGAGGATTTCTGAGGCTTGTGTCTGTGGGTGTGGGGAAGGGAAGGTGTGTGTGTGTGGTTGGATGGGCTGCTTCTCACCTGGCTTGGTAACTCGCAGGAGCTCAGGTATTGCACTGCAGGGCACCTGGCCATCACTGAGGGCACCCACCATCAGTACTGCATCAAAGGTCCCTGTGTGGGGGTGTGGATATGGTGTGTTGGCTGGTCTTCAGTGTGGACTCGGAGTACCCTGGAGGACGGTACCCATGGTGGGACCTGGGGAGGGACCAGGCCTGCCACTGGTGTCTGTGGGAAACAGACCCTGTGGGGGATATGGCAGGTGTGGCCCAGTCCTGGGCTGAGATCAGATCATGAGATGGAGGGCTCAGAGAGAGCGTCTCCAAGAGGCACTGGGGGGTTCAGAAGGGGACTAGGGGCTCAGTGTGGGAAGAGGCTCGTGGAGGGCTCAGCAAGGGGGATAGAATCTTGGCAAAAGAGAGGGCCTCTGTCAGGTGGATTCAGTCAGAGGGTGGGTAGGCCTTAGGGTCTCGAAAGGGGAGGAGAAGTACCTTCATCGCTGGGCAGAGGATCCAGGCCCAAGGTGCAGAGGCTGAGGTGCTGGTAGAGGCCGCGGACCCGGGCCTGTTTCAGCATTCCTGGGCTCCCATCCACCCCATGCAGCTGGAGGAAGCCCCGAGCCTGCAGCTAGGGTAGGGGAACTCAGTCACAGTTCACACCGGCCACGTCCCAGCTGGGTCCCTGAACCTCAGGGAGGACAGCGTGCCCTACAGTGGATGTGGCCCAAGTGTGGGAGCAGTGAGTCTGAAGGGGTAGGCAGAGATCTGGGGCCAGGGGTAAGAGGAATTTTGAGCAAGTGGGGGCTGAAGGGAGGGCAGGGAATCCATGATGGCCTCACCTCTGCAGCCACTAGGCCGGTGCCACAGGCCACATCCAGGATCAGGGCAGTGTGGGGTGGGCCCGGAAGGGCTTGGGTGAGGCAGTCCACTGCGAGGCGGGGGGCATGGTACTGCAGCGTGGCCACATCCTGGGGACAGAGTGCTGAGCCAACAACCACCCTGTGCCCGTGTTTGAGGGACCTCCTTGTGGACAGCCAGACCAAGTTCTGTTTGTGTGTTGGGGGCCCAGGACCTGCTGGGACTACAGTGAGGGGAGACCCAGGCATGAAGTGCTTTCCTCTGCCAAGGGGCGGGGACTGGAGAGTAGCCCCCAGCTCACTGATGGCGCCCTTTCTGTGTGCCTCAGCATTGCTCTCTGCTTAGTCCAAAGTAACTCCTCAGTGGCACCTCCTCTAGGCAGCCCCTCTGCCTGGACTGCAGTCCCAGGGTGAAAAGGTCTTGGCCCTGGATCTCTAGGGGCTGCCAATCTCGAATGCTAGAGTTGGTTAGAGTGCAGGGCCACTGTGTGTAGGCTAACAAGGAGCCAGTCCGAGAGGAGATGGGACTGCAGGACTGCACCCAGATCTCACCTCCCTGTCACATTCATCGCCCTAGGATGATGCAAGGCTTACTATTCCGGCTTTACAGATAGGAAAATTGAGGCCAGGTGAGCTGAGAGAGGCAGAGGAGTGGATCCTGGCAGGTTTACCTGGTCATAGTCCGGAGCCCAGTGGTCATAGAATTGGAGCTTGTGGGTCAGGTCGGTGATGCCATGCGAGGCTCTGACTCGTGCCTGCACCTCGGGCAGGCTCTTGCCCTCCTCTTGAGCCATCCTCCTGTGGGGACCAGCCTCCATGTCCTGAGGCCCACCTTAATCCTCTCTCCCCTCCCCTTCCACCCATCATCCCCAGCAGAGGAGGCTGTTAGGACGCGACCTCTCCCGGCCACCGGCACAATGCAATCCGATTCACAGGCGGGGACACTCAGCACAGAGAGCGCGAGGGTAGACACCTGGGGGCTCAGGGCTGCGGGAAGGGGAAGGGATGTTCCCCATTGCGGGAGGGAGGATCTGCCCCCACCTCTCTACCTCCGGCCACTGTGAGCGGGCTTCCAGGGCGGAAGGGCCTCTAAGGCGATAGAAGGTCAGCACTCACCGCCAATCTGACCTGCCAGGTGGGTAGGTGGGCGCCAAAACTTGCGGCTGGGCCTGTACAGTAAGACTGACCCTCGCTTCCACTGCTCTCGATGATTGGATGATTGGCTTTCCGCTAAGAGACAAATATCCAATCAAAGGAATGCGCTGACAACCCGCCCCCTCCACCACTAGCCAATGAACTCAAAGTTCATGGCCCGCCTCCAGCCTGGGGAGATCTCAGACTTTTCTGAGCTGTTTTCAAGGTATCAGAGTTGAGGACCGAATCTGTGCCCTCCCGGCTCCTGACGTCCTTAATGCTTCCCCAAAGCATGAGCTTTTAGGCAGCAGGAGCCTCTGAATTCCTGCAGACCAAAGAGGGAACTAGGATCAGCTTTTATTTTTAAAACAGTCACCAAGATCCATATACAAAGCTGTCCAAGAGAACTTTCTTCGGTGATGGAAATGTTTTATAATATATGTTGTTCAGGTGACTGTTGAGCGCTTGAAATGTGTCTAGTGCAACTGAGGAAAGAATTTTAAAATTTATTTAAATAATTTAAATAGCCATCCGTGCTAGTGGCCTCCAAATTGGACAGCGCAGGGAGCCTTGCTCCTCAAAGTATGGTCCACAGACTTGTGCAGCTGTGTCAACATCATTAGCTTGGATTGCTCCAGGGGAGGGCCTTAGGGGAGCTTGTTAGAAATGCAAAAAAAAAATTTTTTTTTTTAGTTTTATCTTTTATTGAAGTGTAGTTGATTTACAATGTTAGTTTCAGATGTACAGCAAAGCGATTCAGTTATACATATACATAAATATATTTTCAGATTCTTTTACCTTATAGCTTAATACAAGAAATTGAAAATAGTTCTCTGTGCTATACAGTACATCTTGTTGTTTATCTATTTTATATATAGTAGTTTGTACCTGCTAATCCCAAACCTCTAATTTATCTTCCCCTCTACTTCCCCTGTGATAACCATTGTTTGTTTTCTATGTCCGTAAGTCTATTTCTGGTTTGTAAATAAAATTTGTATGCTTTTTTAGATTCCACATGTAAGTGATATCATATGATATTTGTCTTTCTCTGTCTGACTAACTTCACTTAGTATGATAATCTCTTAGTATGTTGCTGCAAATGGCATTATTTCTTTTTTTTTTTTTGGCTGAGTAACATTCCATTGTATATATATACCACATCTTCTTTATCCAGTCACCTGTCAATGGACATTAGATTTCTTCCATGTCTTAGCTGTTGTAAATAGTGCTGTTCTGAACATTGCAGATGCATGTGTCTTTTCAAATTATAGTTTTCTCTGGATACATGCCCAGGGATTGCTGAATCATATGGTAAGTTTATTTTCATTTTAGTAAGGAACCTCTGTACTGTCCTCCATAGTAGCTTCACCAATTTACATTCCCATCAACAGTGTAGGAGGGTTCCTTTCTCTCCACACTCTGTCCAGCATTTATTATTTGTAGACTTCTTAATGATGGTCGTTCTGACTGATGTGAGGTGATACCTCATTGTTTTGATTTTAGAGATGCAAATTCTTTTTTTTTCTTTTAAAGAGACAACTTTTATTTTAAGGATTTTTACATTGAAGAAGTCAAAAAGTGGTGGTTTTTTGGAAGTTACTGATCTGCATTTAAAACGAACTATTGACAAAGATTCACCGGAAATAATCTGAACAAGCGGGAAAATAGATTAATACTACTGACACCTACTAAAATAATTCCAGGACATACGGTTTATCTGACATAACAATACCTCTAAGTGCTGTCACGGAATGAAACTGACCA